TCACCCCTAACATCGACACACTGGCCGCCGATGGAGTAGTACTCGACCACTACTACACACAACCACTTTGTAGCCCGAGTAGGGGTGCGCTCATGACTGGTGTGCACCCCATACACACTGGTCTACACAACTTTGTACTTCGGAGCTCATCGCCCACTGGTCTACCCTTGGATTTCAAACTATGGCCACAATATCTCAAACAACGCCATAATTACGCCACACATATTGTCGGTACGTATAATTATTGCTAAAATATATATTGTTTAAAATGTTTTTATACGTATATATGAAATACAAAATATGAAATAAGTCATGTATGTCAAATACTGTACATGTCAGTTGAATGAAATGATGCTGCATAAATAAAAAATAATCAAATACAACATTAAGCATTGATTAAACATCCGTAAACATGCATGCTAAATTATTAAAATATTTAATAAATTTGTTATACTGTCCGCCGAATAAACAAGGCATTTCCAAAACAAATTAACCAGATATAAACTATATTTAAATGCACTATCTAATCCAGGCAAATGGCACTTGGGCTTTGCCCGCAAGGAATACACGCCCACATACCGGGGCTTTGACTCGCACGTGGGCTATTGGGGCGGTTCTGAGTATTACTACAATCACACATTTTGTGACGTCGATGGTGTCTGTGGTCACGACTTCCGTCACAATATGGATGTCATAACAAACGCGTCGGTCGTTTACTCCACCGACTATTTCACCGACCGGTGCCTTCATATCATTGGTTTGTTTAGTAATTTGCATAATAATTATTATCAAGATTGCTTTAACTTACAGTTAAACATCACCATAGGATTTACACCTATGTGTAAATTTAAAGCACTCATGATTATTATTATTAAAATATTACTAATTAAATTATTATTAATTAACTATTATTAATCATTATTACAGACCAACACAACACCAGTCAACCCATGTTCCTATACGTGCCCTATCAGGCGGTCCACTCATCAGGCGTGGCAAACATACTGGAGTTACCCCCGAAATACACGGATATGTTTTCGCACATATCATCGGCCGATCGGCAAACGTTCGCCGCCATAGCCTATAGTATGGACGCCTCTATTGGGGCGGTTATGGAGGCGTTGCATAACAAGCATATGTTGAACAATAGTATTGTGATATTTATTAGCGATAATGGCGGCGATCCCCGAGAGTTTATGGGTATAAGGGGGTAACTCC